GCCTCCTCGTGCTTCCATGAATTCTTATTTTGGGACAACTTTATTCATGACAGTGGCTACACTTAATTCTCAGTCTTCCAAAGAAGAGCATAATGAACTCTGAGAGGAGGATTTATCTGAAGGTATTCCTACTCCACCTTTTGTTCTTGCTGCTGGTTCATACCTGTCAAGTATTCTTTTAAGCTTCTTCTGTAAATCTCCGTTTTGTTAAAAGCCATTTCTCCTTTCCACCCAGAAGACATTTGGAGTACAAACTCCAAACTTTGTCTCCTACAAAGATGTAGGAGGTTTTGCTTAAGTATGTGATCTAGCTGCACCTTTCTGCTGTTGCAGGAATACATTGCAGCCCTGTTCAGACTATTTCTTGCACTACTGCATCTTCTGTGGCACGTGTAGAGTTTGTCCCTCTAGTTCCTATCTTGTTAATGCAGTCCTCATAAATGCTGCAAACCCTGAATTAAATTAAAATTAGGATAGTCTTGTAAAAGTAGACTCAGTTTCTTCTGGACCAATTATTAAAGCCTTGAAACAGGCCAAAGTGCTGGAAGTATTTGGCTCTCTTCCTCCACTGATGTATATTGAAGTAAACATACATTTAAGTTACCTTACATCCTTGGATTTTTAGTGCCCCTCTCCAAAGGCATTAATCTCCTATGATCAATGAGGGATTTTTCCTGACTGTTGTCTAACCTCTCGTAGCACGGTGGCAGACTTTAGGACTGTAGATAAGGCACAGTGTGTGGAGTCATCTTGCTGTCAGGTGCTCCTACCCTGCAGAGAGCTGCAAAAAGATATTTGCTGAATCACCCTGGCTTGATTTAAACACCCAGCCTAGCATACAAGAGAGCTTGGAGAACCAAAACTGAGAGAAGGCATTATGGCAGAGCTGCTGAACAGATGTACTAGACACTGGAGAGAAAGCTTAGGCTGAGATCTGTAACTGGCATTAAAATGTCTGTGTCTTCTGTCCTTGGGTGGGTATTAATGGAAACTGCTCTCACTTAGTGAGATGCCAGACATTCACAGCCTAATTTGAGAGATAAGACTTAGTTCGTCAATGACTTTTTCTGGAGGGGGAGGAAGAACTTTGATCATTGCTAAGTGGAGTCTTGGTACTAAATAGCTAACGTGCTTCTTAATTAATTTGTTCTGTCTCAAGAGACATGTTAAGTGCTATGCATGTGGTACAGTGTCCTGTATAGAAATTGCCCTGTGAAATCACAGAAAGGAGTAAAAATTCTTTTCCATATTTGTGTGGTAGAAATTGTGTAATTAAAGAGGGAGCTAAAGTTGGTCCAACAACTACCACCACCTGAAAATGTTAGCTTAAAATGTAGAAAGAGAAGCTGAAGGTATGTACTGTATGTGCCAGAGATTTGCTTATTTGCACATTTAAAATGCATCAGTGGTTTCCTGGAACAGCGAACAGCAAATACAAACATGAGGATAAAGAGGTCAAAGAGAGTATCATAAATGTAATTATGCACTCATTAGTTTAAAGTCTTTGAAAAATATTGGTGGTTACAAGACCAGACTGAACTATTCACAGATTTTTCTACCAGTATCTGAACAAACTGAGTGATGGAGGAAGTTGTTCTCTTTAGTGGAGCAGTATTCACATTTGACGTTAACGTGAATATTCACATTAGAAAGGCTGAAAGGCACACTCCGAGCAAAAGACAAAGACAGAAACAAAATTTGCTGCTGCCAAGTTTGGCCTTTAGCCAAGGGTGCAATTAAAAACAGAAACACCACATTTCTATCTTGCCTTGCCATCTCTGAATAAATTCTGTGATAGGTGGGAAATAAAAAGCTGCATGTTGTACAGACCAACATAAGGTCTGTGTTCCAGAAAATTAAAATACTAAAAAATTCCAAGATTTTGCTATGGGGATTTTCATTTTCATAATGCTTAGAAAATCACATTGCAGAGTGGCTTCCCTGAGCGTATGCATGCATACATGCACATTTTAAAATAAAAAAATTGAAAATACTGTGGAGTCTGTCCTCTCCCTTTTCCTTGCTGAGAGAGAAGGTGACTAAGACACTGAATGCAGACCATGGCTGTTGCACTCGCTTCTCTGGTTGCCAGGTCACTTTCACTAGGCAAGTGCGGTGGAATTCACTTAAGTGCCACCTTGATGGTTTGCCAGGGAAGAGGTATTGTGCTGTGCGTTTCAGTGATCGCACGGATCAGTTGGCACACCTCACCGAAAAAGTCATCTGGAACAGCGTGCATCCAAGCCTGGCTGCAGCATTCTTTGTTTGCTAGCAAGTTTTCCTTCAGCAGTTTGCTGGTTTTTTTTTTTGCTAAATTGTGGCTACAGACAGGATAAAAGTTACTGATCTGTAGTAGCTCTGGAGCTTGTTTTTTCTTAGAAATTCTAGGAGACTAAGTCTATTTTTCTGACTCTTTGCCAAGGTCATTGTTTTTATTATCCTGCTGCTTTTAGAAAAAAAGGAATTCAAAGTATGATTTTATTTTACTCTGATTTTATTTGGAGAGAATGAATTAACTTCCTGTTTGTGTATCAAGGTAAAATATCTTAGCAGCTATTTTACGAGGAGGAGTTGCCAATTTGTGTGCTTTTTTTTTTTAATAGAAAATACTTAGGCCTGTCAATGAACTCACAGATGCTTCATGAAGCAGACATTTTCCTTGCTGACAATGCTGACTTCCAAGGACAGCTGAAACAGATAGGAAGAGAAAATTGTAACTGGAAGACCAGTTCAAGTATGGGAAGGTTTTGAGAGCTTTATTGCTGGAGGAGTCAAGTGACAAGCTTGCTTGAAGAAGGCAACTTCGAAAATGCATGAACTAGATAGCAGAGCACTATAAAAAGCAGGGGAGAATATGTAGCTGTGTGGAAGAACAATGATCACCCAAGACACAAGGTGAGCCTCAAGACGAGAGGATTTCAAAGGCTCTGATCCTTATGACGTCTATGAAAAGAACCCCATTGATTTTAGGAGACTTTTGATTGTGTTCAAAGAGAATTCAAAGTCAGGAATGCTGTTTTTGCTGTAGCAGAAGACGACTTTAGCAGCACTGATGTTTCGGATAAGGATTCTTTCAAATCATCGTAGTTTAAAACAATCAAATTGACAATCAGACAAAACACAGAAATGGCAAGCATAAGCTAAATAATTTTGGAGGCAGAATAAGACCTTAATGGGGCAGTAAATACAGCGGAGACCCTTATCTGACATAACTAACTATGAATTTAAAAAAAATATTGAGCAAGGAAGCAGTGGGTGCATGTGGGAAGCACACAGAAAAAACAGAAGATAAGCTTTCGAGAATGTGAGTCTGAAATGCTCCTAAGATCTATGCAAGGAGAGTTGTCCCAGAAATAAAATGAGGCATTTGGGGCATTTTTTTTTTTTTAAATTATTCTACATTGATGTAGTAGATAAACCATGGAATTGAATGAGGTTCTACTAAAAACATAGCAGGAGGAGAAAAACCAGTGTGTGGGAGGGAAAGCCAGGATGTTATCATGGAAGTGTCATAAAGAAACTAGAATCCAGGACAGCAATGGATTAATAGCGTCTTCTCCATAGTTATATACTAACTAGCTTTAAGCAAGTGCTAACTCGGATCACCAAAAAAGAATTTCTGTAAGCAAATTACTGTCACTATTTGACATTAAGTAGCAACTTCGGAAGCAGTTCATGTTCAGGAAAGTAGTTAGGCAGTGAAGTCTATGCTGTGGTTAGAAATTATTCAGGTCTAGGATTCCTAGTAAAGTTTGCAGAACTAATCCTGGAATCTGTCTAGGACTGCAGGGGATTTGGAATTGGAGAACCTTATCTGGCTGAGAGGCTGCATCTTGTGACTGCAGCCTAGGCAGATCCCAGGCATCCTTCACGGATATCCTGAGTGCACATGTGTCTTGGGGAGCACGCTGGGAAGAAAATGATGAGCTGATAATGTTGAAGGGGGTTACAATCTAGAGTGGTGTAAAAATGCAACTGATCCTCTTCTGTTCACAGACCAAAGGATGGAGAAGTTGCCCTTGTGGCTGTGCCTGGCCATTTGAAGTACCACTGTGCAGTTTAAACATGCATTTATAAAATTAATTAGAAATTAGCAGAATAATCAAATACTGAATGCAAAATGAATTAAATTAGTAATAGCAAGCTAAAGGAAAAGCTCTGTAAACCACATTTCAAAAAGATGGAATAAGGTGGAATAAAGATAAGCTCTATATTCCTCCCACTATACAAAGGTCACATACAACTTGTACTTTACAACAGATTTTATTTTCTGCATACAAGATGCATGTGCTTTACTGACCTTAACAGTACGTATGTTTTCAAAGGCAAATACAGACAACTAGGAAAAAAGCCTACTAGACCTTTCTGTTACTCCAAATATGTTCATTCCTCAGAAGGAGGAATATAAATATAAAAATATAAAGATAAAGCAAAGATGTTTTAACTCTTAATTAAGGAAAGGAACATAGCCTAATGGTTATAGCATGTCCCTAAGAGTTGAGAGAACAGAGGTGTCACAGTATGACCTTCTGCAAGTCACCCTGAGGCTTAAGAATACTTGATGAATATAGTTCTGCATATCGGACACTTAGCTGTTATATGCAGTTGTGAAGTAGGTGGGATATTTTTTAGGATTTCATGAAGTAGCTACTGCCAGTGAAATGCATTGTTAGGCAACAGAGAACTGTCCTTGCAGACATAATGTGGCCATACTACATCAGACAGATTATTAACTTGGGGTTAAATTGTCATGTTAAAAACATCAGTCTTGAATTACAAGCTGTATTTCCTAATTGCAAACCAATCCACAAACTGTATCTCAGTAAGAAACCCTCTGTTAATTCCCCTTGGCTCTGAACAGGTAGTTAGGTACTGAGTACTTTGGGTAATCAGGTACTTTGGCAGCACTCCTGTTTCCTTGGAGGGATAGCTCCAAGAACACACCACCCTCCGCCATTAGCCCTTCGTGTCTTCCCCACCTATTTGTTCAATACAGGTGCATTTGCCTTGTACTTACCCACTTGATTGCAACTGCAAGTTGAGCAAAGATGATGATCTGTTCCCTTTTGCAACAAAGGGACTGTTGGCTTCTACTATGCAAAGTGATCTGGGTGTACTTATGAGAGTTTTTAATAATAGCAGCTAGATTAAGTATCATAGTGGAACTACCCAGTTTTTCCTGCTTATGTAAAGATACTAAAGTCATCTGGAAAATACTGTTCTTACTGTGGGACAAATTACTCAGCTCCCATTGAGTAGTAAATTTTGCTGACTGTGATATATACCAGAATGCAAGCTACAGTGGGTTTTAGATAGAGATCAGTATGCAGGACAAATTAATCAAAGCCTGGACAGCTATAATAAACAAGAATCCTTATGTGGATTTGCTGACTGAGCAGCACCTTCCCAAATAGAACTGGCAACTATGCAACCTGCTACTGTTGTTGCGAAGAAACTTCTTACAGGTTGGCTTTTTTTAAGAATGGATTTTTATTGACTTTCCAGATGACGTTATTAATCCACGTAAACAGGATTTTTACTTTGCACATAATAGAAAGTGTAAACAGAAATTTGAGCATTGGTACATGCTCACTTCTTCAATGGTGACCCAGCACTCGCCTTCTAAAAAAGAGTCCTGTTGTTTTCAATTTGCACTTCCGTTCTGAACCATTTGTAGATACTCCTTGTATAGCTTTTCTTGGGTTTCATAAAGTTTCTTTAGCTTCTTAATTTGTCCTTTGCTGAGTTCTTTGCCTTCTGTATCATGGGTGGGAAATCCCTGAAATATTAAAAAAAAAAAAAAAAGAAGATAATTAAGATAAATTCTTGGACTGCTTTTGCTCTTTATGGAATTGTGTTTTAATAAGATAGGGGAATAATGTCATAATGACAAGCTGTCAGGATGGGGTGCATCTTGGCTAATTTTAGTCACCTAGAAGTTTGACAACTAACTGATTATTTGTGTATGTTCCCTTCCTAGATAATGAAGGGGCAAAGGGTGTATTTATTTTCTGTCCTGTACTAAGTAAGGGAAGCTTAGACAACTAACTTCTAGATGGTTATAGTTAAGAGAATAATGACTGAATCCCTGAACAGATGATTAAGAGACCACTTCTAATCATACTAGCATATTGAATCCAAGGCTTAAAGCAAAAGCAGTAAGAGATTTGTGTTCTCAGTGGAGAAAGTATGATCAGAGTTTTTATGGACATTCTCCTTGGCTTGCAGGGGTATTTTCCAGTATTTACGCTCTCCATTCTTACTTGCCCCCAGGGCCTGAATTTGCACGGGTGAAGAGGACAGGCAGAAGCAGGATCAATGTACCAGATCAAGCGCTGAAGAAACAGTGCTTTATGTTTTCCAAGTAACGCCTTTTATCCTCAAGGGGAGCAATCAAGAGCAAAGTCATCCATTCAGCCCCTTCAGAGATTCTTTGCCAGGACAGAGCAGAACAGTAGGCAGAACCAAAAAGGAAGCATGGGACCTCTCTGAAAAATATCAGTTCTGGCAGCGTTGGGGAGTTTGTATTTGCACGTGAATTCCTTGCCTTGCAACAGGGTAATAAATCTGTGAACAAACATCACACATGCTCCCACCCACAATATTAAAAAAAAAAAAAGGAATAAATATAAATTAAAAAAAAGGAATTTTGCTCTGCAGTGAGAGGGGCCAGAGGAAACTAATGGACAATGAAAATACCCTTGAAATGATGGCTAATGGTTAGAGAACCTTGCTCCCCAATGAAATATGTACGTGCAATAAAATTAATATATCACCTTTTCTTTCTCTCCTTCCCTCCTCCCGCTATGTTAATAGCACTGCCCTGGAGGTTTTGGAACAAGATCAGCTACATACACATACAATTGAGTACGTACAAATGGGGAAGGAAAACCACTCCCTTATCTAAAGAAAAGTCTCTTACATTTTCATCAAACATGGAATATTTGTCATGTTCCAATTTAAACATTTCATGTGGTGGAATCTTCATTTTTGCCAGTTTTGCTGCCTGTAATATAAAACATGCATTAGCATCACAGTTAATTACTGACAACCTGTCACATATGCAAAAGGAAAAGTAGACTATAATTTGCAAATCAAACATCATTTAATTCACAATTGTTTATCACATGAAAAGAAACTTTCAGTGAGGAACAACTCAGTAAGTCTTAGCTGTGCTTGTCCGGGGGAAGGAAAAAAAAAACGTTTTCCGGGCTGAAAAGCACAGGTCTCTATGCAGGTCACAGCAGGATCAGGATGCAAGTAATTGCACTGAAAATAAACTCAATTTTCCCTTATCTGTAAACAAGCACATCTCAGAATCCTTTCCAAGTAATTTATGCCCAATGCAAGGGAATCACCTTTTTGAAAGAATGCAAAAAGCTACTTGGAATTTGTGGATGATAAATGCTATTTATCTGGTTTTCTCTCTGTACATGGTGCTCTCTAAAAGTTTACTTCCTCTTTTAACCCAGGAACGCGTTTCCTGTACTGTTAGAGTCACCAGCATGGCAAACAATCTTTTCTTCGTATGAGTCCATCTCCTCTGGCTGTCTACTTCTCATTCAAAGCCTAAAACATCTGAGCTATCTCAATTCCAACTGTAGAGATAAAATGTGTTTTTACAAAACACTACATTTCACAGTTCAATTGTAGGGAACAGATGGATTCTTAAAGAGAAAAAACCCCCCTGTTTTCACACATACCTACAAGACCGAAAAGGGAAGAAAATAATAAATGACACAAGCAGAATCTTCTCTAACAGTAACACGTAAGATGCTACTTTGGCAATTAAGGAAGTAATACTGTCTATAGACTGAAACATGTGCTACAAGATCTTCTAAGAAGCTTTTGCAGCCTTTAGTTGTGTTTTCAAAGATGGCTTCTCTCTAATAGGAGCTGAATATTCAAATCTGAACTGCAAGCCAAAGTAATTCTGAGCAGGAAATTGTAGACAAAAAACCGTAATAGAGGCCTAGTTAAGACCGGGCAGAGAGCCTGTGTTCTAATGTAATCTTTCCTGCACGTGACTATTGCTGCTAACACTTTTCTTCAAAAACAGATTAAAAGGATCTGAACACTTACTTCCTGCTCTTGTTTTTTCCTGGCTGCTTCTTCTTTCTTCCTTTTTTTCTCTTCTTCAATCTATGAAAGGCAATGTTAATGAGTAAAAGGTAACTAACTACTTCATTTGGTTGTCTTCTAAAAATCTGAGCCAGCTAGCTCCCCTGGATATCTAATTACAGACAGAACTGGCAGCATGACCTGCAGCAAAACCACCATGCCTTATAATTAGGATTGTCTGATACTTCCCACTGTACAATTTTGATTTCATTCGCTTTTATTCACAGTTAAACCAGTTTTAAGTGTTCAGAATGCATTTTGCATGCAAAGTATATACATATGAAAGAATACCTACAAAGCCTGCAAAAGAAATGGTCCTGCCATTTCATGGGGAAAAATGTTTTGCAAATGACTTTTTAAAAAAAGACCGTATTTTGCTGATATTTTAAGCTCTTGCCTCAAACTGTGAAGACATTACAGTTTCTCAAGAAGTAGTTGTATCCCTTGATGTTCCTAGGGAAACAACTATCCAAATTTAGCCAACTTACAAAACTTTAAAAAAAAAAAAAAAAAATCTCATCTTGCACTTGCTTAGGAGAGACCTATCAGTTCTCCAAGGGTTCTGCCAGTACTGAACATAATGCTGTTTCCAGGGAAAATGTACTCTAGCTGCAGGTTCCACCCAGCAGCTATATACAAACTGCCTTCAAATGTCTTTTTGATGAAAACATCTGGAATTGGCTGAAACTACATTTTAGTTCTCCCTTTTCTAAAAAACATCTACATGGAAGGAGAAATGTTGGCAAATCTTCCAAACATTGCTAGTCATGATGGAATTTTATTATTTGTTAAAACTGAAGACAGACACATGAAGCATTACTTTCAAATGTTACAAAGTCAAATATTAATGCTAGGAAATGCCAAAAGGAGAGTTTCTGTACAGACCTTGTGCATGTGAATTAGGATTCACAATCTTTATATATAGTAATGTGAATTCTTGCCCCCACACGCTGATATCTCACTCATCCATACTACATTAATTAAGATTTAGCCAGTGCATTTTGTTCTCACATATCAGATAAATACAGTCTAGTTCTATGGAAAATGTCAACTTCATTTGTACAGACAAAAGAAGTCTGAATTAGCTTCTCATTGGAATCGTTCTTCCAGAGAGGTAAGACAGTACATATGCAATACTCAACATCCCTTAATTATATGAAGATCTTAAAAAACAAACAAAAAACCTTAGAGGTATTCATTAGGTCCCATACAAAATTTTCAAGAAGCTACTGTTTCAAAAATTATTTTCCTGAACACCACTCAAATTTTAGTATCAATTCTCTGACGTTATTTTCCTTGTTGCTAGTCTGTTAAGATTTTTCTTACAAGTTATCAAAGAAATGTAAAAGTATCCATAGCTTACACATTACTTTAAATTTAAAAAATATAGAATGCTTAAAATAATAACCTTTTTCTTTTCTTCTTTTTCTTTCAATAACGTGTCCTTATCCACTAATTTAACCACAGTTGGAAGTCCTAAAGAAGCAAAAACAGATGAATGAGTTTCCAATGCTTGAATAATCAAAGATAAATGTATTTACCCTATGATAACTCTTTTCTTTTTGCAAGCTGAATGCAAATACAACTGAGTAACTACTCAAAAGTGACTAAGAAATTAGGTGCTATACAAAAAGATCAAAAAGATTGCAATGTACATTTTTATATTCTATACATATTTTCCAATATACAGTTCTATAATACATATTAATGCACCAGAAATATGTTATGCTGTAGCTTTGCAGTCCTTGCGTTTGTTGGATTATTCCAGATTAGTCTCGAGAGGTTGTTTTCCCACTTCTTATGAAAACAGTAAGATTATAGAAACAGCTACCTGCAAAGTTGCAAGACATATAATTGGGTACCTTCATGATCTTCAAATCGAACACCAAGTTCAGGAAGGATGTCATCTCGAAGAGCATCACTCAACTGCAGTACTTCAGTTACTACAAAGCATGAAAAATACTTTTAGTGAAGTAAGATTTGGTGAAAGTATACTTCTATCCTGCTACATAGTTATTTAAATGCAATTAAGAAATTGCCACTCTCTTACTCAGGCTGGAGAAAGGTCTTTTGTTTTAAAGTGATAAACCTTTTAAGTAAGTTCTGTCTTTCAACTACACAGAGAAGCAGCCTGTTTCTTTGCAGGGACTTGAAATTCATAAATTTCTCCCAAGATACCCTCATTGTTCCTGAAGGGGAACAGAAAGAAAATCCAAGGCAATTCAGGAATGACGCAACAATTCTGCCAGGGTATAGTGGACAGGTATATAACTCAGGAATATCCTAGTGGTTGCTGTAGGATTTCCAATAAGAAGGTTTAAGAAATTTTAGAAAAATCACAAATTAACATACACTGTGCTACATCTAACAGTGCCTTTGAAGTACTACGATTTTGTTGTTTTGATAACCACATGTATTTGTCAGAACAACTGTAATCCAAACATCCTCTGTTTCTACAGATAGTTATCTTTATCATCTAGTCTGACCAAGCCATTTTTTTCAAGCAAGCCAGTTTTTTCATTGCAGCAGAACAGAGAATTTTGATTTGGCTTTCTGGATGGTGATCAGGACACCATGACTAACATTTTTTTTTTCCCCTTGCAAACTTATCAAAGAGCCTTTGATGACAGCAAATAGTTAAGAACTCAAGATTTAGCTGAAATAGATGCTATCAAGTCTAAAGAAGAAAATAAATCTTCATACAAGATATTTACTTGGATAAGAAATTGTATCAGCTGAGAAGCAGCAGAACAGTTAAGAGGAACTAAATGCATCAAGACGACCCAGTATGTTGCTGTTGTGAATTTAATTCAGTGGCATTTTTTATAGACAGTCTTGTATTTATGAGGAAACACTTACCAAGTGTGACAAGATAGATACTTGGGTTAGCTGATACTATGTGCTTATAATAAGCAAGTGTTCTTCTCCAGAAGAAGCAACTCTCAGCTGGTTAAATGTAAGCAACTCTCAGCTGGTTAAATGTAAGAAGTAATAGGGGTCTCAAAGGTAATAATTCTGGTAATAGAAGCGACCATCCAGACACTGTACTAAACACTGCACATATCAGTAGATACAAGTACCACCCCTGACCATAATTCTCAGAGCCTCAGAGAGCTGAACAGTGAACAGAGCACCAACTATCCTAATCCCATAAAAAGGAACAGCCACCTTATTTCATTGCATGGTAGTGTTCTGCCACTCTCTCTTTGTATAGGAAAGCACTGCATTTTATAGAAGCTCTTTTGTCTGCCGTGAACTAAGTCATTATTTTTCTTGATCCAGAGCAGTTATACACAGTAAACCACATTCATGTTTGACGCAAGTCTAAAGAAGCCATTAAGATAAACAAGGGATAAGATTACCTCACTGGCTGTTAACACTAGAAGGTGTTGAGACTAACCTAGGCAAAGGAATTACATGTCGTATCAAGAATGTATCAGATACACCTACTGCTTATTCAATAAAAGTGGCTGCTCGGCTATAAATATTTACTTATCTGAAATCATGAATAATTGAAAGTTTAAGAAGAAGAAATTCATCAAGGTAGAGAATAATGAGAAATGCATAACAAAACATGTATTATTTATGAAAGGACACATCCTCTGATAAATCCTCTGTCATCCAGAGGAGTCAGCACCATGCTTCTTAGGGCTGAAATGTGCCTGTTCTTTGCATGAGGTACCTCCAGAGTAAAGATGTTTAAGGATTGGGTAGGGAGTTGTTCATGGACTGCCCCAAGATATAAGCCTTTATCCTCACTGAGGACAATGATCAGGAAACCAGTGGGATAGTACCTTATCACCGCTGCCCATGAACACCCTGGCAGCTAGGCACTCCTTGAGCCTGTGACTATTTCCCAGACCTCTTTTCACATTTTCTGTGAATTTCAAGCCGAAGACTCTCGGACGTGAAACAGATGTGCTGTTGTGAATGGGAACACTGTGATAAGGAGGAAAAGGAGGAGCTTAAAAAGCATCTTGAGAATGCTGGATGTTAAGACTGGCAGCAAAAGACAAGAGCAGGCACAGTTACAATGAACAAGTTTGTCCCAATTCTGGTCAACTCATGATACATTAGGAAGAGGGCAGAGGGTTTCCCATTGTGTCCTAGAAGCAGCTTAGAGCCAGATACCACATGGCACCAGCACCCATGGCAGGAAATGAAGATGCAGGCAGAGTTCAGTCATGGACACCTTTACCACAGGGTAGTCAATTTAAGCAGATATCCTGAGGTGAGTAACCAACAACAACTGAAGAGACTTGCTCCTTTTGAACACCGGAATAACAATTTGTGACTAATGAGAATTCTTCCCAAGTGTCGGGGGCTGCACTTAGAGCACAGATCTGCTCCACTGTGCATCCTTGCAGAGACAACCATATGGGGTCTTTGCAGTTGGTCAAGTACTCAAGTAAAATGTCAAGATGCGCAATATAGAGGTGCTCTGACCAGCCAATCATTGATGTCTTTTGCAGAGGTTTTCTACATTTCTTTCCGTTGTACGGGTAGCACAGTGTTTTCCTTTTTTTGTTTACCATCATTGCTAGATAGGTTCACAAATTAAGTCAAGACTCAACTGCAAATGATCAGTGCAGGTCTCCAGTTTGCATACTAATAAGCTTATAAAATAGAGAATTAATTTTATTAATATGTTTGAATGTTAGCCATTCTGGATGATGGTAAAATTTTTGTAGAGTATATACATTTTGATTCTTACCGAATAACAAAGTTTTACAGATGGCTGTTCTGTGAAATGTTTTGTAAATATAGATACATTTTTAAAAGTTGTATGTATATGGATGGGGACATTTGTATTACTCTGCAGGTTTTACAGAAGCAGCATACTTTTTATTTAACCTCTCAGAATACTTAAAGCAATATAGATCATGTTAATTAATATTTAACACCATTCTGCCAGCATCAGGCTATGATGGGGGAACTCCCTTCACTTACAACCATGTAGAGGCCATATCCCCAGCCATTAATCAGAACAACTTTTACAGTAATGTAACACTTCCTGCAAGCACGAATTTAGAGGGTATGGGGAAACAAATCGGTAGCATGTCAGTACAGGTCCTGCCAACCACCACTCAGCTTCCATATATCAAATAGTTTAATGAAAGGTGCCTTCCTGGTCAAACTGCAGAGTGCTCTGTACCCCAACCAAGTAACAGCTAGATCCAGCTTTATTCTTACTGTCCAATTTATTTCAGGCAAAAAATCAATACCTTCCAAGTAAGAAACTCAAGTGCCAGTAAGCAGTCTAGCGATAAGGATGTTCTAAAAATTATCTACAAGAAGCCCCGTGATATTTAAACCTTACCACTGTTAAGAGTGAGGATCAGTTTAGCTCAACCGTCAGAAAGCAAGGGAAAAAAAGCCTCATATAAAATGAGTACTTACGTTAAATATTGAAAGACCAAAGGTCACATTTTTGGCTGAGGTTATACACACAAACTTCTTGAATTAATTCAAATTACAGAAAATATTTGCTGTTAGAACTAATAAGCCTATTTCTCAGCATCATTTAGGCCTATACGAGTTTGACTAATAGCTGAGTAGTCACATTAACAAATACAGTTTTGTGCTTTTAAGGTAAACTTATTAGCCCTTAGAAGAACTCAAAACAGTAGCAGAATTAGGGTTCAGATTCTTTGCTAGCTGAATAGGTATCAACCAGACACTACAAGTAATTTTATATTTCTGTATAATATATGGGTTATTTATATATGTTTTATATATTAAAAATGCCCTATTTTTCCTTCAAGTACAAATCTCAGTGTAAAAAAGTTTTAAGAAAACAAGAATCAAATACATATTGAAGACATGTAAAATTCCACAGGGAACAGCAGAAAATAGTAAGAGCTCCATAAGGAACTAATCAACCAGTAAAATCCAAGAGGGCTTAATGGAACAATCTTTTTTAACACTATATAGTTCTGCTGCCAACACACACAGCATGATCAAAGCTTCTCAGAGGGGGAAAAAAAGCACCCAGAACAACTTCTAGCAAACTCCCAAATGAATTCTTTAAAGAGAGCACTCAATTACCATCAGGGGAACTACAATTCCAACTATGCTAACAAATAAGAACGAACATCTCAAGCTATTTAAACACAGACAGTATCATTGTGTACCAATCTACACTTTTAAGAGAACGCAAAGCTCCCTGGGGGAAGAGATCATGGGTACTTTCATACCCAGAAAGCCCCAATCTAGAGAAACAACAGCTAGTCCTCTCATACCAGAACTTTTAGATTCTTCAGGAAATTAAAAGACAATGAGTTTAGCAGCCTGTAAAAGATTCCCAAATTAAAGAGACAGGTAGCAGAGATGCAAATATGCAAGCCAGCTCTGATTTAAACATGCTTTACTTTTATTCTCTAAGCAGAGAGAGACTGTATCAGCTGGCTCACGCCCCAGTTTGATTCCTACAACCTCTCAGTCTCATGTGCAACAATACAGGAAAAAGTGAACTCTCACCTTTCTTTTCTCTGGCAATTTGTCGCACTCCTTCTCTGAACTCAGAAAGAACTTGTAGGTATGGCATCACTGTAGATTCCATCTGCAGGATAATTATTTCTACAGTTAGCTAATCATCGTTTAGATATAAAACATGTCCTTACCCACTTCATATTTATGTGCTGTTGGATGAAACTTGACCCTCAGTGCAGATCTGTATCAATAAAAATTGTCATGCTCTATTGATGTCAAAGGATAGACAATAATTTGCATTAGCTGTCAATTTTCCTTTTGCGCAGATAAAATCAACTTGTGAAGTTCTGCCTTTCCCCACTCCTTTTTCATCTCCTTTCAGTTACAGATACATCAGTTCCACAGGGTTATGCTACAGTCAGCTAACTATAATGCAGTAGAGGGATAAAAACAGCACTCAGATGAATTTTCCCCCTCATGTTCTGTGTTGTCTTACGTAGGTCCAACTGCTTGTCAGACATAATACTAGGTGAAACTGATCTTAGGACTTATTTTCATCAGAACATAGATCTGTTTGTCAGATGTTAGCTTATGCTAATTGCATTTACTTCCAATACAGTGCAATTGTCTGGATTCCTCACACAGAGGGAAGTGGGGAGAGATTACTGTTGAATTATTTCAGGTGTAAGTAAATGCTGGTCATGAAAGCTCAAAGAAAAAGTCCTGAGCATCCTGCTCTCGATAGTAGTGAGTAGCAACAGCAAGCAGTTAGTGAACAGCAGTGAACAATTACAAAAACAACTACAGATCAGCGCTGTCTGCCAACACTTCTTTGGAATCCCAAGAGAAGCCAGGCACCCAGGGGACTGCTTGAATTAGAAGTTTCATTACTTTGGAGGGTGGGGAAGAGAGAGAAAAAAATGCACACTTTTGTTTCCCCTACAGTTTCCACGTGTCTTTCCCATCTGTTAAATCCCCATGACAAATTTCTGTGCAATTAACAGACATGATAGTCTGTTATGCTCTAAAAGTGCCCATATGAAAGGAGCTGAGGTGCTCCGTTAAAACTTTTCATAAATGTGAATACTATGCAATCAGCTTCACAACTAGAACCATTCCTGACAAGTTTGGCAGAAAGAACAGACCTGGAAAGTGAGCAACAGTCACGTCTCCACTACCCCCTCTACACTGAAACTAGCTCAACATGCAAATGAAGTGGTGTCAGGAAAGCATGCACTGTCACTACTTTATCAGTCATTTAAAGATGAAGGGTTTTATTTCCAGAATAACTAACTTGACAGCAACACTTAATTCATTTGGAAAATGAGACTATGGAACCTGAGGTTTTCTGACTTCAAATCTCTTCCATGCCCTTTCAAGTAAATTACTGAACCACGGTAATTAAGCCAGTTGTTCTTTCAGAGCTTTTGAAGAGGATTATGCCTTTTTTGGAGATGACTCTATTGGTTCCTTCATCTCCAATTTAGACAAAGAAACAACAGACCTGATCTACAGCCTTCTGTAATTAATGAGTTTTTCAACCTTGAATGTTCACCTGGTAATTTTTGCTATGAAAAATAAGTATCTGCATGGAGGATTGAAAGAGGGTATAATATTTAATGAAACAGCCAAAATATTTGTGATATTATGCATCTTTATATTACAATGCTTAAAACCAGTAATGTCCTAGGTGATAAAAACAGAAGTTTCTTGTGTGTAACAGGTGTTAGCACAAGATTCTTCTGACAAGTGTGCTAACAGGTGTTAGCACAGGATTCTTTCTGCACAAGATTCTTCTGACTCTCCTACCCTTGGCAATGTTACTGTAAAGGAGTGAAAGGGCTTAGCTTCTTGTTCCAAGCTATTGCCAATCCCTCCATAAAGCATATCTGTTGTAAACACTGCCTGAATGAAGTGCTAAATACGAATTTAATTTTCATTTTCCCTAAAGAGGTGTTAAGGTGCTGCCTTTCTTTTGAAATTCAAAATAATTCTGAGCTAAATTAAAATTCACTATTGATGGGTTTCGGTATGAAATACTGAGCATCTTCGTTATTATCCTTGTTATATCATTACTGGAGATTTCTGCAGCACAGTAATATAAGTATTTGCATGGGCAATTATCAGATGAGTGTTCATTCACATTCTTTAACCACAAGCAAGCTTTCCTCTTCCTTTGATGAATAAGAAGTTCAGCTTTTTTGTTACACCACAAATGTTTTAATTATTCCTTCTAAGGAGGAACAGAAAAACATATTTTTCTGCATTCAAAGGTATGACCATACTTGAAAAACAGCACTGATTTGTCCACGTCAAATTTTTCACATGAACAAAGAAAGCAAAGTTGATAGCTTTCATATGGAGTTATTTCTCCTGCCTGCACCACGAAACATTACTGTTACTAACAGGGCCCATCAGCACTTTCATCAGGTATCTCCCAAGTATTTCCAGAAAAATTCTGCATCACAGTGGAACTGCTGGGTGACCAAAGCAAAACAGCCTTCAAAAGCGAGATAAAAACTGTGGATACAAATGAGATCAGAAAAAGAGATTGAAATGCGGATAAAACTCCAGCTGCCTCCAGGCTGGTTTTTGGTGTACCACAAGGAAGTTTAATCAGTATAATTATATTTTTGAAACTACTTAACATACAAATACTTGTAATGAGTCTTTATACTGTAGCATGTGCTGTCTGTAGTTAACATGTGGTTTCTTAAACAGACTCGTCATTCAGAAGACAAGATAATTCTTTTTCTGGTTGCTATACAATTTGTCTGTCATTAAATCAAACCTATAAAAAACCCCAACTCTCATAAAAGAAAAATCCTGCTTCCTAAGCCAATTAATTACTTCAGATTCAAATGTTAAAAGTGGAAAGAATGTAATTCGGCTACATGTCAGAGTAATGTAATCACTTTATCTAACCTAAGCTTTCAAAGGACACAGAGTAATTTTGTATAATGTACTTTGTCCTTCACTTACATTTATGTTTTGACTATTCCCTCCAACAGGAAAACCAATTGCGTCATCACTTTCTATGGCACCAAAAATCTGGTCAAGGAAAAAAAAAAAAAAAGGAAAAAAGAAAAAAAGAAAAGATTGTATACATCAAGTCACAGGTATGTGAAAACTAAGCAAAATTACATGTACTAGGGTTTTGAAACCACCTAGTTCTCATTTAACCCACAATTCACTGCTCTAATAAGAAGATGTTTTGGTTTTTAATTGATAAAGCATACTAAGCATTGGCTTTCAGATTTAGCTTTAAAGCTGTCAGATTTGACATTCTGACTTCGTATTTTTTCTACTGTCTAATTTTCCTTGCATGTATTAGGGGCTCTCCACTATTCAACAAAACATTAGCTGAAATTATAATGTAACATAAAGGATTCCAAATTGTTCCTGCTGCAGCACACACTGCAATTTGGGGTTGTTTTGGTTGGGGTGTGTGTGGAAGATCTCTAGTTTCCTACAAGATTTAAACAAAGACTGTACAGATCCCTACATACTTGAAAAATACAACAGTTATAATTGCACAGTGCAATAGCAACGTTACTACTTGCTATTACATACCTTTAGCATTTGAGTGAGATAGGAACTGATGTTTTCTAAAAGAAGTCTGTTTGGCATTTGTCTGGAAGATTTCTTTGCAGCAATATAGGAGTTACTCTGACTGACTAACGAACGCATTTCTTCTAAGACAGAGCGAGTGTCAATATTGTCACACAGTGCTTCATGAATTGCTGCCTTCTTGTCGTAAAAACTAAGAAGAAAAAAATTTTTTTTTACTATTGATGTCAGAAGTATCTGCAACCTACTCTGAAGAACTTCTGTTAGAAGAGTAAGGGGACCTAAAACTGGGATAATCTTTCGTTGGTCACAGGGAAAAACAGATGAGCGAGAAAAAGGCATTATCACAATGCTGCTGTTTTGCTGCTATGGACAAAGGCAGGCAGGATAATCTAATTGGCAACAACTGACCAAATTACATCTAACACTTCTTCAGCAACTGACCTTTTCATACCAGTTTTTAAAAGCAGTATAAATTGCTTCTTTAGTACCTTCTTGTGCTTACTATTTTTTTTTTATATTATTGATCTCCTATCCCTATGTACCAGCCAAGTACTCTGTTTCATATCTTTCCAGTGAGGAGCACCAATTTGGAAGTTAACTTACCACAAAGTGAAGTGTTACGAAGCTGTTACAAGCAGATACAAGGAATAAATTCATATAAACCTTTGTAACGCTCATGAATAGGCATAATAAGCAATACAGTATATTAAGTACCATTTCATCATGCAACAGATACTACTGTTTCAAACAACATACTTTTTCCAGAGAGAGAGAAGAGAATGAGAAGTGGTAGAGAAAGGAGACAAAAATACATATCCATGAAGCATATCTTCTGTTTCTCCCACTCCTTTGTCCCTTCTCTTTGACCTCTCTATTACTTACTATCTTCTCCCTTTTTTAAAAAAAGTGTTCTCTCTACCAACCACAAGTTGAAGATTAAATTTTCAGAGGACATCACTAAACAGAAGCATCTGCACTTGGTCCTTCAATAGTCAACATCTCTGTCCACAACAGTGAACTGAACTAGGAACAATTTTAGTACTGCAACATAAGATGCTTCTATTTTAAATTTCACTCATAATAGAAGTCATATAGGAAGCTGTTCGTATTACAAACAAGAATGTAGTTTTGTTATAAAAGTGAAAGACTGCAACATTGATATCACTATATCTCAATAACACATTTTCAAACATTGGCACTCTGATCTTCTGTGCTTTTAGTCAGGTCATTTAACTTCTGTTTGTCTCAGTTTGCTCACTGCACTTTGAAATGTGTAAAATACTGTTTTTCCAGTTGTAATCACTGTGAATTATCGGTCACTTCTCAGAGAGAAGAACAGCATTTCAAGTAGTGAAGAAAATGACAGCTATCTAACAAAAAAGTGTTCTTTCCCTTCACAAACAGGGCAATGAGGCATGCCAGCGTACTTAACATAAACGAAAGGGAAATTAACAATTTCATCTACACTTCATAAAGCTGTTGCAAGATTAAATTCACTACCTTGTACAGAGTTGGGGTACTCAGTGGAAATGCTACAGGCTTATAAATATCACTATATACATAGTAAGCCATTTTGCAAGGGGAAAAAAAGTTAAACATGTAGCTACACAATGGCTATTCACAGAGAAGTAGGAATGCTCCACTCACTTTTTGTTCAGCTCTGCTTCCTGATCTTCCCATTTCTGAAATTGGCCTGTCACATCAGTGGGAGCTCGAAGAATATCCTTCACATTTAAAAAGAACTCCTATAAAAGAAGAATATAGCTAAAAATCACTTTAAATTAGACACAACCAGTATTTACTACGAAAAGGCATTATTTCTGAATTAGCCTCCTAAAGTTTATGGTTTCAACACTGTTTCAGCCAGGATCTACTGAATGTCTGTCAAAACAAGGAAACCCACACATTTTTCATAACTCTGTAAATCACAGTTGGACTGTAATTCAGTTCTATCTCTTGGCTCTGCCAGTGCATGATACACTATGATACTCTAACACCAAGCTGCTCAAATACAATACCATTTTAAAAAAGTTTAGGCAACAGTTCTTATGGCAGATTTTTAAGTGTGTTGCTAGCAATGGAAGCTGAAGAATAAACATGGCTTTATGGTGAGGGCCTATTTTATGTGGGCATCCAGCTTAGTGAAAAGTCATTTTCACTTATTCTGAGGCCCAAACCAAACATTTTAGATAAAAAGCAGAATAGCTTCAGCTGGAGAGACCAAGATCAATGACCTCAAAATGCTGTACAGCCTCCTTGTGGGAAACGTGGGTTTAAATCACGGCTCCAAACTAAGCAGGGAAAGGAACTGTGCCTGACCCCTCACATATGCCCGCGAGGCACAGAGGCAAAGGCTCGATGTATGTGGTGAGGAGACAAGGTAGGAATAATACTCCCTATATTTGTGTAAAGTCTGATCTAGTAGACATGTTATGAGACTGTCTGTTGGACTGAGTCCTATAAGCAAGCTGTACTGAGAAACTAATCTTGCGTGTAAGTGCCAAGCTGCTCAGAGATGTCAAAACTTGGACAGAGCCCCCAGCTGCAGAGAAATGTAGCTGTCTGTGGAATTTGCATGACTTGAATGTTTAAATAGCTAAACAAATACTGTGACATCCCACCTGATGAATTCAGAAGGTAAACTCAGTCTGTGGATATGGCCTATATATCCTTGGGTTTTATTCCTTGAACACATATGGCAACACAAAGCTTAGAGAGCTGGAGGAGGAACGGAAAGCTTACTTACATTCATAAACTTCTCATACTGAATAGCTGACTCCATGGTATTATTTGAATAATCCAGTGTATCCTTCCAAGAGTGCATAAGGAAAGCCAACCGTAACTGTCGTGCTATTAGGAGTTTCAAAATAAACAAGGAAAATAATCACAATCTAAAGTGTTTTTATGGCCTCCAATACTGCAGTGGCTAAGAACATAATTTTTAATATTCTTACTACCAAAAAAGCAAGAACACTATTATCCATACAGATAATACCGACAAGGAACAGAAAAACAAGGAAGCTGTCCTAAAGTTAGTGAAGAGGAAAGACACCTGAAGTTAGCCATTTTTGGAAACTCCATTATGTGCCTGAATAACAAAATTACCACAGTCACCACTCAAAGTACATCAAAAGCATTCAAATTCCAAAGTAATTTTTACCTGTATGTTTTTTCAGTGCATCTTTTATGGTAATGAAATTCTTCAAAGATTTGGACATTTTACAGCCAGCAATTGTTAAGTGGCCAGTATGCAGAAAATACCGGACCCAGTGATCATTTTCAAAGTAAGCCTGCAGCAAAAACAAAAAACCCCAAAGACCCAACACTGTTTACATACATACCATGAAGTAGGATAATTTAAGAATAAAATCCTGAGAACAAAAAGTTATGCTTATACAAAACACACATAAAGTTTTAAAAATTAATTGATGGATTTGTGTAAGTTGCAGTCAAAGTAAAGCATGTCGCTTTTTCAATGCAGAAAGTGAAGACCGGTTTGTTCACCTCAGACTGTGCCAGTTCATTGTCATGGTGGGGAAATCGGAGATCAAACCCTCCTCCATGAATATCCATTGACTCTCCTAGAATGGATCCAGCCATCGCGGAACATTCAATGTGCCAACCTGGACGACCCTGTTAAGAAAAACACATTACTTGGCTACTCGTTAATTGTCTTCCTCTCCTGCCTGTGTATCATTCCCTCATTGGTCTGCCCCTAAGCAGTTACAGACCTGAGGAAATGAGATACAGTGTTAGCAAGAAAAAAAGATTCTCAGTCTCAGCTTCATAAAAGTATACTGTTGGATTTAAAGATCAAACATGGCATATACATCTGTGATGCTTTGATTATCATGCTTATTATTCTTTTTAAAATTACGTTAATATTTTTGATCACAAGGAAAAAAAAGGATATAGAAATTACTGCAGATAAAGCCTGCAGATAAACAGAGGACAAATGACCAGTAACAGCTATCATGAGCCTGCATGCAGAACTTTTGTTTAAAAAGTATCAAACAGGCAGATTGATACACATTCTAAATTATTAAATGAACATAGCAACAGAATCTACAATTGAATACAAGATCTCCATAATCCATACATTATTAATATGAGGTGAGGCAAAGTATTTGTGTAACATGCTATTTAATAAGGTGTAGAAGATCTAAATCCTGATTATAATGTCCTTACCTTTCCCCATGGAGAGTCCCATGAGGGCTCTCCTGGCTTGGAGGACTTCCACAAAGCAAAATCATTTGGAGAATGCTTCTCACTTAAGCGATCAGCTGAGATGCTCAGGTCACCTTTCAAAAGAGAAAATGTAAATATATACATTTTATTTAAACACCAGCATTATTGATTTTTGGCCTCACTGTACCTCACATCAAGTAAATTAAAAAAAAAAAAAAAAAGAAAGAAAAGAAAAACACTCAGCCCTCAAAATTCCTCATAACTGACCTTGATAATCCTTTGGGTTTTTGATTAATATTTGGTTGACAGGAAATCTGACAAGTATCAGCTGCACTGCTTTCTAAGTTTTGACATGAGATTCATCTACATTCTCTCTGCAGGCACAATTCCAATATTGCAGTTACAGAAAAAGAAATACAGAAACAAAAAACCCTATACTCATAGACAAGTAAGACTGCAGAATCAATTCACTCCAAAGTTAGAAGGATCCAGATTAAGACTAGGATTGTCTTAATCTGCACACACAACATGATCATAGGATATTTCTTCCACCCCTAATCTCAGCTGCTGCACAGAATGGCTGGTAGTTGTTCAATAGCTATGTTTACTGTTTTGTTACCATCACAGAGGTGTTACGCATTATTTACTGTTAGCTCCTTATCATAATTTAGGTGATATTCTGATTATAACATCTTTAAAACACCGGGAATTTACCATTTCTGCAGTACTGTCCAAGACTAAAAGCAGTTAACAATACCGCATAAGAATCCAAGACAGATTAAAGACAAAATTGTCAAGGTTAAACTTGTCAATTAGTTTTGATGTACAGGTTAAGAAACCTGCAATCTCAATTGTTTAGAACATCTAACATTATGCACTTTAAAGTATTATGCTTTTATTTACATTAATTGCAACTTCAAAGCTTAGCATTTCTGCTGCCTGTAATAGTCAAAATGACATCTATCAGGGTAAGGACAATCATCACAAATGAGTCAAAGCAGCTAAGCTGACAAGCAATAACTTGACATATGCATACTCTTGGTTAGTTACATTAATCACTCAGCATCGGTTCCTATTTGCAAAAAGACACAACAATTCAACAAAAGTGACTCGTTATGTGGTGGAAATGATACATGACTATGGTTTAAGCTAGCACCTTTTAGTTCACATAGAAGATTTCAGCTATGAGGGTTTGAATTGAGAAGAAAAAAAATAATATCCATTTTAAGCTGCATCTCTCAGATATTGCTAGTTTCACCTAGTATGAGTGCCCTAATTTCACCTAGTATGAGTGTTATATAAAAACCTTTTCATATTCTTCTGATAGAACTTGTACATGATTTGCTACTAAAACTGTACAACCTTAGGAGCAGCTAACTAATGAGTGGTTTTCTGAGCATTTTAAGCTACTCCTCTGCTATGGCTCGACTCAAAAAAATCTGTATTTGGATTTAGTTCAACACAACAAGGTTTACAAAGTAAAAAGAGTTCTCAGTATGAAAGAGGAACCCAAACATTTGTCAAGAAATAACTACACCCTTGTATGGAGACCTTTCACCTAGCATGTGGAAGACCCACTTTCAAGTCTTTGCTCCTCCTTTGAACCAGATGAACAGCTAAATAACTGGGCTCTAGTCAAATGACTAAGCTATTCACAATTCTGACCAAAAAAACCCCAAACAAACAAACAAACAAAAAAACCAACCAAAAACATCCTAGAATGAATAACGTTTCTTGGTATTTTCCAATTAAAAACTTTCAGGAAAGTGCTGGCTCAAGCTACGAAACTTTGGAAAAGAAATCTATTGGTAAAGGAAGTGCAGCAGGTAAACCATTCAACTCTGACAGTAACTTTGATCCAAACGTCAGTGAAATCAATTGAAGAGATCAACACATCATCAGCTTCTTCAGCAACTTAAGCAAATGTTATTCCCCCTTTTTACCTTCACCCTCTTGAAGAGCTTTTTGATCACCTACAGCTTCAGGAACCAATTTAGCATAGGAGTGTTTTTCACTGGAATCAAACTTCATAGTATCAAAGTATACAGATCCATTGGACACATACCTGAAAAGTGAAAGATCATTATTCAGCTAACTTTCTACCAAGACTTAACTGAACTTTACGCCAAAAATCACTGTCTTAAACTTAAGTTCTCTAGTGAAACCACATACTGCTCCGTATTGTAAAGATGACTTAGGTGAGCCCAAGTTTTAAGGCCTTACCATAAAGACTTCAGACAAATCACTGAAAGTCACAATAAAATTGATCAAAGGGAAAACAACTAACATCTTTTGTTAAACTCTTAAGAGATGAGACATCAGATAACAGTCCCAAGAGAAGAAATATCTACAATGCTTCTGGTCTCCTTTAACATTTGCAATGATATAAAATGAATCATGTTTGTTTCACAATCCATTTTGTCCTCCTTTGCTTTGCTAATTTTGTCCCACTACAGCCATAACAAAAACTCTGACACAAGGGTAAGTTTCAGGACCAGGTGGAATGCTGATAATTCAGTGCAAACAATTTCTAACTGTCGCCGCTTTTTTTTTTTTAAGAAAGTTTTAAAATGTAGGCTTAAAGGAAGAACATGCAAGAGAAATTATGGCAGTCTGAACCACAGGTTTGCTTTTTTCACAATAAAAATACATCCATGTCGAAAAATTGAGGCTGTTAACAGAAAGAGAACTCAAAAATTTCAGACAGGAGTCTATCATGATACTTAGGAACTTCTAGAGTATTAGCTTGATTTTCACCAATATTAGACAATGGCAGAAAAGCAGTTCACCATTTATTTTTAACATGTTATTTACAACGGACTTCTAGCCATCTACTCAGGCATGCATTTTTGAAACCCCTTGCTGAAGGCCAGGAGTCAAACACAGTTCAAGTGAATGGGACTTTGACTATTTATTTTAATGAATGAGGATTTCACCCTATAAATTTAATAATCTAACTTCTCTCTTTGTAAGACATCATAAGACGTATAGAATAGCACATTTGCACCAGGTGAGAAATAACAGGTCTTTTGCAAAGGAACCGGAAGTTTCTTTATTTGATGAAACACTTCTTCTAGAGAAGACTACTATTGCATATGAAAACAGAGAAAACAGTTCACAGTTAAGTGTCAAAAGCAATCATTCTAGCTCTGATACAGTATAAGCGCAGAACAAAAGCATCCGGTAGCAAACTTACCCATAACCATTATCCACAATCTTTTTCACAAAATCCACAACTTCTGGCACATATTCACTAACCCGTGTTAAAACATCTGGAGGTAAAACCTATAAATAAAAAGTAGACTTTTATATTTTTTACATATATATATATAAATCTATACATATGAAAATATGCACTAAATATATATATATATTATACATTGGTTAAAAATTGGCTTAAAAGCAAGTGACAGTAGAATCTAAGACTCCTATTTCAAGCTTTCTGCTCTGAAATAATTGCTGTAGCCATTTTTTCCTCAGCCTTTAAGGCGACGTTAACAACAAACTACAGCAGGAGATGTCAGCTTTTCCACTTATTGCACCTCTGACAGAACAGGCAGTAAGTCCCTTGATTTGCAGGTAAATAAATAAACCTTCACTGATCTGAACCGTTGCATATGACACGGCATTTCATCTGTAACAGACAAATCCGTCCTTGATTGTTATCATCATATAATTTCTTAGTGGCTGAAGACTGATAAGTAGTCAGTCTAAATGCTGAGGTTGGCAGGGCTCTCTTGTGCAGCTAACAGACTCTATCTCAAACTTCTGGATCAGTTTATGATTATAAGCCCATGTTACACCAAGGGGAAGGGATCGAGTGCACACGTCAAGACTTGATGACCACTTAACTGGCTCTGGTAACATGCTCAATGGATTTAAGATTGTTGGGGTGGAAACAGAACAGGTGCTAATTTAACAGCTACCTATTCACATTAAAGGAAATACTTTATCAATAAGGTTGAAATACGAGGTTTTTGAAAGCTATTAAGGAACTAAATTGTATTCTGGGTATTATGGGGCATGGCACATACACTCTTAGAACAGAAAACAGTTTGTTTACTTACATTGAGCGCTTCCATATCTTTATGAAATTCCCCTTCCCAGAATTTGGGGAGCTTTGAGAATATGGAATTGTCAGTCACCTGACTGCCAAATTTTGTGTCTAACCAGTCCGACAGCAAATCTTTGGCTTCTTCCAACAGTATCTATAAAACAATAATTGTAAGTGCAACTGATCAAAGACTTGCCCTATTTAAACCCTGCAGAAAGATCTTATTCTGAACAGAGAGGTTTGCTTAAGGAAAAAGACACTTGGCTATGAATAGCAAGTAATCCGTGCTTCTACCAGATTTTTATCATATTGCCTTTCACAAATATGGATGAAACAAACAGAAGAAGGAAGATAAACTGATAAGTGATATCTGTTTTGATATCAATCACTTAAATAGGCATGTGGAATTTAAGCTGTAAACACCGGATGGGACCTGCAGTTATATCACATCATCTGTTCCCCCCATTATTACTGGATAATCCCAACAGAAGCCTTACTGTGCACATTCCTAAAAAGTGTTTGAAAGACTGATTTGAACATCAGCAAGGATACATTTCAGATGACTTTTTTTTACAATAGGATATAGCCCAGAAGGTGTGGCTGCTTAGATTTTAGTTGTTTTTAAAATTCTGTTAGGTCAGTATACACTTTTATAAAGGCATCTGATATTAGAATAGCTGGATTTTTTTAAAGAAGATCATTTAGAGAGAAAGTCTTCTCAAGAAGGGAGCACATACCCTATGCTTCCTACAGTAATTATCACAAATAATCTGAAAGCAAGAAAAGATGAAAGTGGAAACCAATTACTAAAAGACAGTAGTTATATTGACTGACTTGGTTACTGGGACAGTACCAAAGCCTAATAAAGTCAACAGGATTATTGTCACTAAATGCAATGGTCTTTGGATAAAAATGATCCTGAGCATAATTTTTTTGGATGTATTTTCTTCTCTGATCAGAGGCAGAAACACTCGTATAGAAAACTGCCACCAGTACTGGAATGTCATAAATGCATGTTCAGTAATTTATACTGAAAATAATTCATCAAGACAAAAATGTCAAAGAGAAAGTCTAAATATATGCAAGAGAAAAATCCCCACTGCAAAGGTAAAAATAACGGCGTAATTATCACAGTGGGAGGGGAAAAAAAAAGTAATTAATAAAAACAGCATCCAAAAACTATAGAGTTGAGTTCAAGGATCAAATTTCCTGTATTGAATGCAAAGTACTAAAAAGTCCTTAGACCCACCATTCCTCTTTTTATGAATAAAAATTTCCATAATGTTTCAGGGAATTACTACAAGCTAAATATTATTTTTAAAACCCCTAACAATTATAAGCCAAGTGTAATTTAAAAAGCTCGAACTGACCTCATGACATCTGTTGATCTCTTCTGCAGGGAGTTTTGCTTGCACAGCTTCTTGTAGAGGGTCAAAAGCAGACTTCACTGCATTTTGAATTCTTTCCAACATTCGCTTTTTATCTGGGTCTGTTGTCTCATTTAATTTAACTGAAAAGAGCTACCATTAAAAAAAAAATTTAGAAAGCAACTTGCAGTACAGTAGCGCTATGTTCCATACACAGTACATCGTCTTAGCCACATAGTACCTTGCTAGTGATGAATAATACATTATACCACGTAAAAAGCTTTGATATCAAACTACTGAAACATACTTCTCATCAGAAATAAAGGTGAAGTTGAAAGAATTTAGTTCACATCTGAATTCAGTTTTTCAGAAAGACTTTATGAATTACTACATCATTAATGTTGTTTAGTAATTTTCATTTTCTATGCAGTTGATCCCAATTACACAGTTGATTATCACAAATCTGAAAAGGAGAAGCTCTAATGTGAAACATAGAGACATTAAATGCTATGAGAGTATGTCAGGCAATGACAGTTGGGCAAAATTTCCAGGCCTCCTATTCCCAGGCCTGTATTCAATTCATTAGACTGATAATCTCTTTGTGATCTACAGTTCTAAAAATGACCAGAGAATCACCTTCCCCCACCTTCAGTCCAGCATACACAATTTATTAAATCCCTAAAGCTTTGGAGACTTTTTGCTCTTTCCAAGGCCATCAATGGTACAAAAGAGAAATCTCACAAGCTTTAAACGATTATGGACATACCACCATTTAAAACCTATTTTAAAGTTTGAATTCTAACATATAAATATCCAAATGTTTTTTGAGCTTTTTTCCCAATACCCCAACAACAATATACCTGCACTCACAAACAAGTTCTATGGACATAAAAAGCAGGCATGCCTTTTTACACGGATAGTTCTTGTCAGTTCTAAACCAATGGAAAATCAAAGTGATCTGCAGTTCCAATAACATTTCTAATTTGTGTGGTACCAATTCAATAGAATAACTGAAACAAGCAGAAAGTTTAAGGAGGTAGCAAAGTCAGAGGCATTTTTTAGACGCTTTTCTACATTATTGAGTAAGAACCTAAGACACTAGCAGGGATTAATACCACGCCCACCTCTGAGGCAGTTTTAACGTCTCCAAGTAGCTGATCTGGTGCTGATTTATTCTCTCTATACCGTTCAAAAAGGTAATTTTGTCTTGCTCTCTTGATGATCTACAAAGCAGAAACATAAGAATATTTTTGTGAAGCAACATACAGTTATACAAAGTGCACATCAAATCTATTACATACCAAAGGCATTTCAGAATCCGTATAAATTTAACAAGCTACAAGAATTACATGCAGTAATACAAATTAAACACACCATACATAGTTAATCAGCTACCTCAACAGAGTTAATTAGGTATCTCAACAACAGGCAAATAAAATAAGTTACCTTTGTAAAATGCTTAGTCTTCATTATTTATGACAACACTCATTTATATACAAGAATACAAGCTTTGCTACCATAGGAACGCTACAAAACTGAGAAAAATCAATGACTTTGTGTACAAAATGTATGTCTAAGTTAATAAGTGTAAGATTTATCTTGGCTTATCAAATGGCAATTACCTACGACTTTCTGACTTCTGTGCTCAAAGTACAGTATTTTAGATTGCAATTTAAAAAGACCTTACCTTATCATCAATATCTGTAATATTCATACAATAGAAAATGTCATATTTAAAATAATCCCTCAAGATTCTTCTCAGGATATCAAATGAGATGTATGACCTAAAAACATAAAAGATATAGGGGTGTTTTTAGTGAACACCTCAAGTCTATTTCTATTCTATGCACAAACTACTTTAATCTCAGAGTCAATAATTTCACAGCAGTCTTAATTTTCCCTCATCTACTAGGAAGTTTTTAATCACACAATGACATAATATTATAAATGCTTTTAATCTTAAATCTCAAGCATTGAGTCTAACGAGACTATTTTCTAGTAATACACTCATCTAAATAATCTTTTGCTTCCAATAGGCACTGTTATTAACTATTTTATAATAAGGAACTGCAGTACCTGGCATGTCCCATGTGAGAAGCATCATAAACTGTTGGACCACAGCAATACCACAAGACCTTTTTTCCATTCTGAGGCTGAAATATTTCCTTAATTGAAAGGGAAGGTACAGTGATCAGAAGAAATTGAAGACATGAACTCAGGCCAGTAACAGCACATACAGAGATCAGAACATGAAAACACGGATTCTAATTACAAAAAAGGAATAGTTATTCCACTCCCAGTTCTACCATAAGAAAAGATCACCACTAATTTTATCATGTAAGAGAGATAACAGGGTGTGGCTGCTTATGTTATCTGCACTCTTATCAATCAAGATACCAGATTACAAAATTTGGACTAGGCAGGGCATTATTCAAGCTGCCTTTGTAAAAGGGAAGATCAGGCTCTCTTTTGCATTAAAAAAGGTTACAGAGCATAATCATTTCACACATACTTGGATACTACATCCCATATAACATTAGCATTCTTAATATTTCCTCTCCCAAAGGACCTTCAAAACGAAGACCACAAGAAGTTTTACCAGTTTATATTACAATAATATAGTTGGCGAGACTTTTTTTTTTTTAACATCTAAAGAAAGAAACTGTGATTTTATTCTGTTCACATTGCCTATACTTATGTGTGTTACAGTTGAACCCCTGGCTATTTTGCTTGATGATAACTTGAAATTGGGAACTATATAACATACACCTGTAGTATATGTATATTTATTGTGTATATTACCACACTTGCCCAGCAAACACACTTGACTGACACAGCATCTCTGCCACGTGCTTCTTAACGTTGCACAAAATACAACCCAGAAACCTGTCTACTGATAGGGTAAACACTTAAGAAACAAACATTTGATGACTTCTCTATTTGTGTTTCTATGGAAATCTCCACTTTTTTTCATTTAGTCACCTTATTGCGAGTCAGGCTGTTGTAGAGGCAGAGCCTAGAATGTTTTGTCCCTTCAGGGGGAGACCAGGGGGGCTGCACACGCTTGCCTTTACCTAGGGGAAAAAATAGTTTAAAGAGAACTGAAAAGACACTTTCCACAAACAGATTTGCAGTATAACATTTTCTCCTTATCACATCATTAAGTTATTTCAAAAGAAGAAAAACATATAATTAGACAAATCAGCTCCAATCCTAGTAATCCAACTACTTTTGTAAGAGCTTCCTACAAAGCCACTAAAACCAAAGTAAATTATTTCAATCTAGTTTATTTTCTACTCTCTGACTTGCCATTCCTGTTAACTTTTGATCCAAGTAACAGGAAGGAAGAGGGTATAAAAGTAAGAGCATGCAATTCGGTTAAAGCATAACAACAGCTTTGAAATTTAATTAATTATTAATAAAGTGTTATGGCAGTCCTGGGCTTTCTGCAACACCACTGATTCTTCTGTGACGGCATATCACAGATCTCATACAGAATTTGCAAAAAATCTCCAGAGACCAGGGTTAGTCTCTAGAGCCAATATTGACAGAGTATGTGTACTCAGGGTGAGAGTGAGGGGAGACGGAAAGGTTTAGAAAGAACCTCAGCTTTTTATCATACATTGTTGCTATGTACACAAGGCATTTTTGAACACACTCATTTACCACAAATATGCTCCAGTTCAGCAAGAGGCTAAATTTTGCCATTAAAGAGAGCAGATAAAACCCAGGGTAATATTAGTGACAATATTCTTGCATTTGTTTTCTTTTGAATTTTTAAGAAGCAACATAGTTGTTAAACTCATGGTTTTTTCAAACACGAGTATGTCATCTGTCAAAGAGTTGCCGTTTGTTATGCACAGGGCTGCTTACAGCCGTAATGATGTTAAACTAATTATCGCATTAACTAGGAATGAAAGCAAACCAGGAAATTCAAAAATACAGCAAGATTGCTAGCTTAATACACACAGCACTGTCTTTAGGAATTCACATGGTATGCATTTTAACTACAATTAAAATATTCTACAAACTATTTGTTTTGGCAACAAAAATGCCTTTCTGATCCTGTGTCTCAGGATGCTCTTCATTAACTGTGTTTCCCTGATATCTTCATATGAATATTTTGGTTAAAAACCTTCAACTAATGTAAACATTAATGGTATAAAAAATTTAATGTCTTCTTCATCTTCCTTTTTTGAATAACTGCCTAAATAAGAAAAAAAAATATTAACTGTAGTACCGTCTCACAACTGGACTCCATTTAATCTCCATGTTATGGATCCACGGAAATATGTGTTTATTCTAAAGATTTCATTGTATGAGGTACTCCTGAACAGAATACCTCAAGTTCAAGAGCAGCCTATCCATAACACAGACCATATACCAAGGTATGGATTTGTTTACTCTCTGATTCACAAAGATTACGCTGGCATGCTTAATTGTGGCTAACATTTCCCTCGGGGAAGGAAGCCTATGTGGGTTAGTCTAATAAAAGATAAATCTGTAAAGCTTTCTTTACTTGCAACCACACTAAACATAAGAAAAAACCCAGATACTGCACCCTAAAGTTCTCAGCTTATGAGTTAGGTGTCACGTTATATCCACTACGTGGACACCAAGGGCAAAGTTAAAAGGCATACTGTTTAGTCTCTTCAAATAAGTCTCTGCCAGCTATAGTCTTCCCCCTGGTTGAACTGAAGTTCATTTGCTCTAATCCACCGCTGGAGCTCTGACACACCCAAAAAACACTGATAAAATATCCAAGGTCTAAGAAGTGTGGCAGATTCATATGTCATTTTCATAGTGAACATTTGTGCTGGTTTTGGCTGGGATAGAGTTAATTTTCTTCATAGTAGCTAGTACAGGGCTATGTTTTGGATTTGTGCTGAAAACAGTGTTGATAACACAGGGATGTT